ACAAGCAACAAGGGAAAAATTGCAGATAACATACAAGGGAACTCCCATGAGGTTATCAGGTGATTTCTCAACAGAAACTCTAAAAGCCAGGAAAGAGTGGCATGGTATATTTAAAACGATAAAAGGGAAGAAACTGCAACCAAGAATACTCTACCCAGCAAGACTTTCTCACAGGTTTGATGGAGAAATCAAGAGTTTTCCAGACAAGCAAAAGTTAAGAGAATTCAGCACCACCAAACCAGCTTTACAGCAAATGCTAAAGGAACTTTCCTAGACAGGGAAGCACAAGAGAAGGAAAAGACCTACACAAAGTAAACCCAAAACAATTAAGAAAATGGGAATAGGGTCATGCATATTGATGATTACCTTAACTGCTAATGGATTAAATGCACCAAATGAAAGACAGATTGGCTGGGCAGATGAGAACATGTGCATGCATGCACTTCCACTTATCACATCACTTTACTTAACCCCCCAAATTGTATGTAATTATTTTATATTGTTAGGTTAATCATGTTTCCATTACGGCTTGCAATTATAATTACCTTTTATTTTTTATCTGGCTATTGATTGTGAAAACTGATAAACATCTTTTACTATTGTGTCATGTAACTTCATACCATTGTATCATGATTTGTCAACAGAAAATAATAAAATTCTATATCACTAAAACTACCATTTAATAGAAAAACTTGTAATCATTTTTTAATCAGATCATAACTGAATTATCTTAGAATTTTTTGAAAAATGCAAATGCCCAGGTAGTGCTATTTTTCTCCAAAGTTCCAGATGTATTTCTTGAGCATCCATGAGCAGTTAAATAATGAGCAGCCATGTTTAAAAACAATTGGACTACATGATGATCTTTTACTTTTATTTAGTTTGTTTCACTTTTTCTNAGAGCTTCAGCTGCATGCAATAAATTCTGGTAAATTCTCTTTTCATTTTTATTCTATTACAAGTATTTTCTAATTTTCCTTGTTATGGCTTCTTAGATACACCCATTATTTAAAAGTGGACATTTAATTTCCAGATACATGGGATTTTGTTTAAAGTATCTTTAATATTAATCTCTCACTTTGATACTAATTTTTCATTTAAATGCTTTCTTCTCTGCAATCACCCTCTGTGTTTTCGTCAGTCTAACTTTAGTGAGGCTTTTGATGGCTAAGTTGAAGATCTCTCTTGGTAAATGTCACATTGCACTTGAAAATATGTGGGTTATTTTCAAATATCTTTTGATATTGATTTCTAACATAATTCCACAGTAATAAGAGAACAGACTCTGTACAATTTCAATACCTTTAGATCGTGACATTTTTTTCACCTGGTTTTATGTTCTTGATATATTCCACCATCTGCTACTTTACAGTCTATGAGAAGTTGAATAGAATTTGTTTCCTACTGTTATGTAAAAATTATATAAATCTTAATTATGTTGAATTGGTTCACAGAGTTTTCAGGTCTACTATATCCTTCTACTTCTCTGTACATTCATTCTGTTAATTTTTGAGAGTTTGATATTGAAACTCCAACTAAAACTTAATTTATCTACTTAAAAAGAGTGTAATATATAATGAGACTCTATATAACCTTGTTCTGTATTTTCCAAGTCTCCTGTAAATGTGTTATCTTACTTTCATAATTTAAAAAAATAGGTGACATCAAAAATGAAGAAACTGAACCAGTTTGCTCGAGGATAGTACAAGCGCTAAATAAAGCACTGTGGAGAGCAGGCTGAGGGAATGCACGAACCAAATTCCAAAACCATGCCAGTCACAACTACATTTCTTCATTAAAGGTCCCCATCATGTATTGAGAAAAAGGTGCAGAGAAGTGAGACATTTAAATACAACATCACCATTCATAAACCATCACTGTTAACAATGTGATGCCCTTTACGATATATACTTTTAAAAATTATCATTTTTAATATATATCATAATATCTATTATATCATATAGCAATATATGTGTACTTTATACTGTTTATAGTATTTTTCACCTAACACCACTATAAAATAATTTTAATATTTATACATAAATGTTTACCTCACTTTTAATTCAAACACTACAAATTTTTTATCTTGATTATGAATAAATAATGCCAAATTACTTTCTAGATCTTAGCATTTTATAATAAGTAGATATTTATTATCTAGAAACATGTATTAAATGTTCTTTTCCACCAGTACAGTATTGTACATTTTCCTCCCTATATTATAATTACGTTTTTGAATATCTCAGAGTCTCAAAACTAGCTGCTTGTCTGACAGGAATTTGTGATATTACATAAGGCAGTATGAGTCTGACACCTGCTGGCTACCTGTGAAGTTGCACAATTACCTGTTTAAATTGCAATTTCATTTTATAGAACAAGGAGAATCTGGTCTCCGTGTTTTTTTGTGAAATAAAGATCATTTGTCATTTTTGGCAGGTATTTTGGATGTTAATTTTCTTAATAAACATTTATTATGTCATATTTTTGATTCTTGAAATGGGTCAATATTTTAAGTTGAAGTTTAAGAAAGACTTAAAACTCAATATTACTTAAATTTTATTTTAAAACTGTCATTTGACAATACTTTAACTTAGTATCAAGTATAATATCTTAGCAATCTTTTGTAAATTAATATTACCAAATCAATTATTCTTTAAAACATTTTTTAAAACAAAGAAATATTGCTCCACCATTCAAATAGAAAATAAAACTCCCATTCAGGAATTTTTATTATTAGTTTCTAAAGCTGAAACCTATCAGCTTACCAGTATTGTAATTATAATGACAGTGTATCAGTATTTTGATCTTTGCACTACTTAGAATTTTTTCCCCCCACATAATCATTAGCATCTTTGCTTTTCATGGATGCTTTGAGTACATCCTGATTTATTTAATCATCCACCTTTTTATTTAAGTCTCACTGTTTCCAATTTTGCTTGACTCAAAATTAAACAAATTAATCATTTATCATAGATACTTTATTTAAAAAAATTAGACATTCTTACACTTCAGAGATTTAAAGTAGTGTCCAAGATGAATGTTCTTTGGGCATTTAAAACTAGTATTAAATATATGTAAATTCTAAAGCCAACTAGGTATGATAGATATTTATGTTGTGATCCGAAATATTTCTAAAAGACAACTATTTATTTGATCTGCATTTGTGTGAAAAACTGACCTAAGCGTAAGAAGGAATGAGACACAGTTATCTCATTTCTTGCACTAAAAAAAAACATTTTTTGTGGAGATTAGATGCAAATGACCATTTCTAATGCAAAGCAGAAGTGAATCACTAAATGACTGGAAAAGGTCAAAGAAAGATGTGACTTCCAGAAAGAATATTCAAGGAAGGCTTCATCTGTTTAAGTAAATTTAAATTTAAAATTGAGGTATGAACTCCACGTTTCTTCTTTCACCCACTCCATTTCTACATGTTAGCAAAATTATGATTTTTATGGTCTGAATCATATGAGAAACCTATGAGGTACTCTTACTAGATATTGAAGTGGGATTAGGTGGAATTTGCTGCATAATTTCCTATGATTAATTATTTTTAAGAAATTGTGGCACATTGTGGTCAAAGGAATACTAGTAGGGCTGACTTTCTGCAGATAAGGCTATTTTCCCCAGATTTACCTATTCCTTGCAAGATCAGATTCAATCCACACATTACACAATCACTGCCTCTGTTATGACATGTTAATAAAGACACACATATTATAACATACTAATAAAGATACAGTGTGGCTTTCAAGTAATAGAAGGAATTTTACGAAGATGCTCAACATACAAAGTAGCTTAAAGTGCAGCTTCTGTGTTAAACCATGTGGAAAGAAGCCCGTGAAAGAGCTGGGCAGATTTCCCCAATACCTACCTTCACTCTTGCTTCCTCTCACTGAAACTTGCCCTTCTTAGAGGAGCCATAGCGGAAAGAAAACAGCAGCCCCTGACATTGGAGAAGCAACCTGACACCACAGCCACAGCGTTTTTAGAAGCTGTCTGGGTGCTCACGTTGTTGTCTTGCTGGACATAAAGAATCTCACAGAACAGGAAGGTCACTCTTCAACCATGAAGCTGTGTGACAAAATAAGACTGCTTAATAGTTTTGTCTAAGCAGAGAAAAAACAAGGTCGCCAAGCAAACAGCAAAATATCTAATAGCTTCCTCTCCAAGCTAATATGACTACATTGAATATATTTCTTCTTTAGAATGATACACTATATAGTAATATACTTTATGCTCACTTGGACCCTTCCTCCAATCACCTAATCACCTAACTAAAACTCAAGTCTTGTAATAAGTTCTTTCCATCACACTCTTTTTGAGACCCCCATGGTTTCCTATGGTGTATGCACTTCCAATGTGTGTTACTGGTGGTCTTTGATGGAGAAGTACAATTAACTTTTATGTTAATCTTGTATGCTGCAAACTTAACTCATGAATTAATTTTTCTAGGTGTTATATTTGGTTGTTTTGCCAATTCAACAATTTTCTATTGACTGTCATATTGCCCACAAATAAAGAGTTTTGCTTTTTCCTTTCCAGTCTGAGTACCTTTTATTTTTTGTATTTCACTGGCTAGCTGTTGAATAGAAGAGCTCAGAGTATAAATCTTGGCTCCTGATCTTAGAGGGAAAGTAGTCTCTCACTATTAAGTACAATATTAATTGTAGTTTTAATCAATGCCATTTATTAAGTTAAGAAAATTCCTTTCTATTTTTACTTTCAAGAGAGTTAAAATTAGAAGCGACTGTTGGAATTTTTTGAAATGCTTTCTCCTGCATGTATTAAGATGCTCATATAATTTTCTCTTTTAGTTTGTTACTAAGGTAAATTGATTAATTTTTTAATATTAAATAAACTTTGCATTTTGGGGGTAATCCAGTTTGGTCTTCCCAGGTGGCGCTAATGGTAAAGAACTTGCCTGCTAATGCAGGGGACATAAGAGACATGGGTTCGATCCCTGGGTCGGGAAGATCCACTGGAGGAGGGCATGACAACCCATTCCAATATTCTTTCCTGGAGAATCCTGGTGGAGCCTGGTGGACAGAGGACAGAGGAGCCGGGTGGGTGACAGTCCATAGGGTTGCAAAGAGTCAGACACGACTGAAGCAACTTAGCACATGCATTTGATCATGATGTGTTATTCTTTTAATGTATTGTTGGATTTGATTTTGGTGAAATTTTGTTAAGAATTGTTCATGCATATCATGAGAGATGTTGATCTATAGTTTTTCAGCTTTTTATTGTAACCTCCATGTCTAGTTTGGATATTAGAGTGATATTTGCCTCATAAAATAGTTTAGAAGCAACCCCTCCACTCCTGTTTTCTGTAAGCACTTTTCTCTTCCTTAAATATTTTATATTTTCACTCCTTTTGTTTCCTAAGACAAATATGTTGTCATTTTTATTTTTATTTCTTCAAATGTAACTTGGTCCCCAATCTGCCTGGAAGAAGGGGAGGAATTTTAATATTTATCTCTATATCAGTGATTTTTCACAATTTTATTATGTGACCTCTTCACTCTCATCTCTGTCTGCTTCTTCTGCTCACTGTTATGTAGCCACACTGATTTGTTGGCTGTTTTTCTGAGTATTCCAAGTATACTCCAACCTCACAACATTATGCTGACTGTTCTCTATGCTGAGAAAAATCTTTATATGGCTCTTCACCTCCTTCAAATTTTTATTCAAATAGCACTTTTTCATTGATGCCTACATAATCATCCCGTGTAAATGACAAATCTCCTAGCACTTCCATACCACCTTTCTTATCAGCAGTATAATTTTCCATAACACTCATCTCTTTTTAACTTTCCATACAATTAATACATTTTTATGTTTCTCTTCTGCTTCCCCAACTGGAATGTAAGCCATAAGAGAACAAGAAACTTTGTCTTTTTTGTTTACTGTTGTATAATAAGAATCTAGAACAATGCCTAGAATAGTCTATTGTCAGAAAATATTGTTGAAAGAGTTAATTAATTATTGAACAAATGAAGACTAAATTAAATTTATGCTTTGAAAATAATATTTGAAATAATTCTTTTTGGTTATGATCCATCAGTACTATGATATACCTGATTTTATCTTTGTCTAAAGTGAAAGAAATGGAGAAGAAATTGGAGAAGGAAATGGCAACCCATTCCAGTGTTCTTGCCTGGAGAATCCCANACAGAAGAATTGATGCTTTTGAACTGTGGTGTTGGAGAAGACTCTTGAGAGTCCCTTGGACTGCAAGGAAATTCAACCAGTCCATCCTAAAGGAGATCAGTCCTGAATATTCATTGGAAGGACTGATGTTGAAGCTGAAACTCCAATACTTCGGCCACCTGATGCGAAGAACGGACTCATTTGAAAGACCCTAATGCTGGGAAAGATTGAAGGTGGGAGGAGAAGGGGACAACAGAGGAGGAGATGGTTGGATGGCTTCACTGACTCAATGAACATGAGTTTGGGTAAACTCTGGGAGCTGGTGATGGACAGGGAAGCTCAGAGTGCTGCAGTCCATGGGGTTGCAAAGAGCCGGACACTACTGAGTGACGGAACTGAATTGATACGTTTTAGGGACTTTCCTGGTAGCTCAGTTGTTAAAGAATCCACCTGCAATACAGGAGACCCTGGTTCAATTCCTAGGTCTGGAAAATCCCCTGGACTTGAGACAGGCTAACTGCTCCAGTATTCTTGGGCTTCCCTGATGTCTGAGTTGGTAAAGAATCCACCTGCAATGCCGGAGACCTGAGTTTGATCCCTGGGTTGGGAAGATCTCCTGGAGAAGGACGTGACAACCCACTACAGTATCCTTGCCTGGAGAATCCCCATGGACAGGGGAGCCTGACAGAGCTACTGTCCAGGGGGTCGCAAAGATTTGCACACAACTGAGCAACTTTCGCCTATACCTCCTGCCTGCAAACAATGGATACTCTACAAAGCTCAGTTTTGGTGTTCATGAACAGATCCAGGTTATGACTTTAATTAAACCTGCCACACATTTGATTTTCAAACTTATGTATCCAATTCATTTTCTATCTCCCCCTCCCCCTTCCTTCCCTCCCTCATGATTTAAACTTAAAGTGAGATCTGTTATCTAGAAAAGAGTAAGGACATCTTCAGGCAAGACTTGGTCCTGCTCAAACTTTTATCACCAATCACATTTTTTTTTTACCTTTTTCTTCCTCTAGTCTTCTGAAGTGCTCTGTTGATCCTTAGACTTGACTTACTTGTCTCTGAAACATCTGAGCCCTTCCCTTATGGGGGGAAAGTGGTTATCAAAGATGTAGACCTCACTTCCTATAAAAGAAAGAGAGATTTCCCATTTCCCATAGTCCCATAAACATCCCTCATATCTCACTGACTTTACTTTTTGTGTGTAACTGAGTATTTTTATTTTACTTTTTATAAGTATATAGTTGAGTTATATACTTTATATAACTTATACATACTTTATATACACAAACCTGTCAGTTCAGTTCAGTCATACAAAAGTTATAATTGATGTGCAATATTATATATGACAAGTAAACCTATAATTCTTCAAAAATGTTAAAGGTTGTGCTCCATTTGTGAGGCAGGGGTTGGGAGGGTGCTTCCCAGGTGGTGCAGTGGTAAAGAATCAGCCTGCCAATGAAGAGACACAGGTTCAGTCCCTGGGTGGGGAAGATCCCCTGGAAGAGGAAATGGCAACCAACTCTAGTATTCTTGCCTGGAAAACTCCATGGACAGAGGAGCCTGGTGGGCTACAGTCCATAGGGTTGCAAAGAGTCAGACATGACTGAGTGCACATCCATATACTCCGTTTATACTTAGTGCAAAATATTGGCTATATTCTCTGTGTACAATATGTCTTTGTAGCTTATTTTATACGTAATAGTTTGTACCTTTTAATCCCCTACCCCAATATTGCACCTCCCCTGTCTCCTCTAGCTGCTGGTAACTACTGCTTGTTCTCTATATCTGTAAGTCTGTTTCCTGTTTGTTTTATTTTTTAGATACCACATATAAATGACTTTAATTTGCCCAATCCTGTACTAATCACTGAGGATAGAAGTGGTACAAATTTATTAGCTTAAACAAGTTAATCCCAATAGCTGAAAACAGGAAATAATACTTTGAATATCATAAAGGTGGAATAAATGTCAGAGAAGAAATGAACAAATGTCTACTACATTCAGTTATGGGTTTCTAATTTTCATTGCCCTCAACTCCAAGTAGGATATTCCTCAAATGGCATCTCAAGTGCCTTCCTTTTGTCTTTCACCCCAGTAACTCATTCTCTACTCATGTTTTGGGTCTTACTCACAATTGACCTTTAACCTTTCTGAATCACATTTTCTTCCCCTTCTCAATATTCCTTTAATTTACTTTATTCCTCAATTATCTATGTTTCTTTCAACCCAACTAGATTATACATACATTAGAAGCTCAGGATATGTTTAACATCTGTCATATCTGCCTTCAGTATCAAATAGATTATCAAGCACATAATTTGCACTCAATAAACAATTGCAGGATAATCCTATTATCATCAAATAGGCAACATTTTGAGGCAAAGAGCAATGAAGTTGAAAATAGACGTGTGCCTTTAGTATCAGCCCTATCTCTTACTCACTGGCCAATTTTGCACAAGTTATTTAACCTACAAGCCTCATTATTACTATTGTTACTCTGTCCAAGCTCATACTGCTCATCACAGGACAAGCCAATCAATCAAGAGATGAGGTGTTGGGGTAAGGAATAGCAACTTTGTCTGGAAGGTTAGCAAACTGAGAAGATGGTGAACTAGTGTAGTGTCCCAAAGAACCATCTTACCTGAGTTAAAATTCAAACTACTTTTATACTAAAAGAGGGGATATGGTGGGTTATTGAAAACTTTTTGGTTCTGGAATCCTTTGTTCTCGCAGCTGTCCTAGGTCTTGCTACAGTATTCCTGTAAAACTCCAACAAGACAATTATTATTTTGTTTTCTGAGACTATTCACTCTACCTTTAAAAGTTAAGCCTGGGAGGCAGTGCCTTGAAAATGGGCTGTCATTTATAATTCTGTCTATAGGCAACATTCTTTTACAGAGGGGCTGAGCCAACGTGAATAAGCACAGACAACAGAGCACAGAGCTTAGGGTTAGAGGAACAGATTCAATATGGACTCAGGTTTGTTCTTCTCTGCTACACTCTATAAAATAAGCAAATTTCTATATGTTGTGCCTATTTCACATTCAATTGTGGAATCAATTAGAATGAAGCATTTTCAAAAGTAAAGAACATTCATATAGAAATTCAGAGAAGAATCTGGCAACAGATTCTGAAGTTTTTAGGGAACACTTGCGGGAGGAGATTTTAAGTGTGAATCCCCTTAGAATGAGGAGCTGGGAAAAAAAAAAAAGTGTTCCAGCTGGGGGAAGGGAGGGGGGCCAGAAGTTCAAGAAGGAATATAACATTTTCCTTGAACCACAAGAAAAACAGCCTAACCTACACTTATTCCTTTCAAATGTGATTGGAAAAAAGACTTTTGTCATGACTCTTGACAGTTGGAAATGTGGAATTTTCCAGTGTTTTAAGTGATTCTCGACTCTGACTCCATGAGATGTCAGGAGTTAAAAGTCACAGAAAGGGAAGGAACAGTAAGAAACTATCTGGTTCTTACCATTTTAGTTAAGAGAATATCTTAAGTTTCTAAATCAGACAAGAGACCAACTTATAAATGAAAAGCTTTCACAATCTCCTTTAAATGTAAATTTTTACTGTATCATTACATTCATCATAATACACATATAAATGCATTTAGTGCCAAATGCCAAAATGGCACCAATGCCCAAAAGCCTTCATTTTGAAGAGTCAGAGTGTCTGCCAAACAGAAGGCTACAGAAAGGCTGCCAGAGAGAAGTTCTTTGTGAAAACAGCTATAGTCCTGCAACATAACAGAAAATGCTACTGAACCAAACTTGAATCTACTAGCCCACAAGCAGTAAAGTCAATCTACTGACACTGGGTTGTGGTGGAGGAGAAGGCAGTTTATTGTAATGTGCTAGACAAGGAGCCTGGGGCAACTAATGTTCAAAAAGTCCAAGTTCCCCAGTGGGTTTCCAGGGAGGCATTTTTAAAGGCAAGGTGATCACAGGGTTTGTGACCAAATCAGCTCATGTATGATCCCGTGATTGGTTGACGGTAAAGTAACAGTGCAGTATCACAGAAGTTAACATTATTAATCCTCAAGCTCCTGTAGGTCTTGGGGCTACATACTCATGATCACCAAGTGCTTAACTTCTGTTTTATGGGCATTTTAGCATCAGTAAAGCAACTCAAGAAATGTGCATGAGACACTGTTATCTAAATAGTCAGAAAGGTACTAGATCAGAGAACATGGGGACAGGGTCTGTTCCAGCAATACCCTATAGGGTCCTGCTCCGTTACAAAAAATATACATGCTGTTCTCTGCCCCTAGTTCCTTGCACAGTGCTCCTAAAACCCTTAAATTCCCTAAGTAATGAAAACACTGCTGCTGCTAAGTCACTTCATCGTGTCTGACTCTGTGCAATCCCATAGATGGCAGCCCACCAGGCTCCTCTGTCCCTGAGATTCTCCAGGCAAGAATACTGGAGTGGGTTGCCATTTCCTTCTCCAAATGAAAATACTGGGAACATCTTTTCTTCTAATGAGGTGACCTTGGGGGCACTCCTTGATAGCGGCTTGTCATCACAAAGAACAAGCCATGACTAGAAGCTTGGAATTTTCAACCTCCCGCAACCCCCACTTCTCCAGAGAATGGAAACAGGCTGAAAATGTAGTTAATAACTAATCATGCCCATTCCCTGGTGGCTCAGGCAGGAGAGAATCTACCTGAAATGCTGGAGACTTGGGTTTGATCCCTGGGTCAGGAAGATCCCCTGGAGAAGGAATGGCTGGCAACTCACTCCAGTATTCTTGCCTGGAACTTCACATTGCCAGAGGAGCCTGGCAGGCTATAGTCCAGGTCACAAAAGAATCATGAGGTCATGACTTAACAACAAAACAACAACAATATACAGAAGCTGCTATAAAAATCCCAATAGCGTGGGAGCTTCCAAGTGAGTGAACATCTCCACCTGCCAGGAGGGTAACACTCTCTCCCCTAAATCCACGGGACAGAAGCTCCCACACAGCCCTCCCAGACTTCGCCCTATATATCTTTTTATCTGTATCCTTTATCGTTTTCTTTAATAAACTGGTAAATGTAAGTATTTCCTTGTGTTCTCTAAGCTTCTCTAGCAAATTAATCAAACCTCAGGAAAGTGTCATGGGGAATCTTTGATTTGTAAAAGTTATGGACAACCTAGGGACCTTCTACTTGCAGTTAGCATCTGAAGTAGGATGGGAGCTTTCTTGTGGGACTGAGCCCTTAATCTGTGGCATCCGACACTCTGTCTAGTTTCAGAGTATTAGAATTTAGCTAAGTTGTAGGATACCCAACTGGTGTTACAGAAAATTGCTTAGTGTAGGGGGGAAAATGTCACACATTTGGTGACCTGAAGTATCAGAAATGAGGTGTTCAATGTGAGTAAAGGAGGCACGCTAGGGATAAACAAAGGAGGAAATCTGAGTCTCTACACAAACCTTACCTCTACACCTGATTCTCTCCAGGGCTATAGCCTCTCATTGTTGGCCTGTGGTTAATGTAAACGTGATATTCCTGAGAGAAATAGAAAATACCCAACAGGATTATTACCTAACGATAAGGACAAACAGGAAAACAAATGGAGGTCATGAGTTATGTTTCAAATCCCTGGCCAATTGACTCAGGCAAACAAATGTGAACAACTGTAAAAATACCATCTACAGGACACCAATATACTTTCTCTAGTATTTGAGCCATCTAATTTTAGGAAGGAATTCTTAGGAATTATACTGATAAGTTTAAAATTTAATAATCACATAATATTAATTTGCCTAAATAATCAGCTGAAATCTTTCTTAAATAATGCTACTTAAGTTTCTTGAACTCAATGATATATCTTCATAAATTTCAACTTTCTAAATATTTTATAAGGGATAGATAATATCCTTATGAATAATAAATATAATATGCTAACTTAATTCATATTTGTTGACCTATTCATGTCACTATTCATGTGCATTGTTTCACAAAAAAATTAATTATGAGAGAGCACTATATTTCCTCAGTATTTACCTTTAAATATAAGACATTTAAAGGTGTTTCTCAAGTAAAAAGATTTTTATTACTGGTAGGAGTACAGAGAAAGAATACCACACTCACTGTTGAGTATATAACAGCCCAATGCTTACCCCTACATATTTATTAATGATGATTTAATCCAACCAGTCCATCCTAAAGGAGATCAGTCCTGGATGTTCATTGGAAGGACTGATGCTGAAGCTGAAAGTCCAGTACTTTGGCCACCTTATGTGAAGAGTTGACTCAGTGGAAAAGACCCTGATGCTGGGAGGGATTGGGGGCAGGAGGAGAAGGGGGCGACAAAGGATGAGATGGCTGGATGGCATCACTGACTCGATGGACATGAGTTTGAGTAAACTCTGGGAGTTGGTGATGGACAGGGAGGCCTGGCGTGCTGTGATTCACAGGGTCGCAAAGAGTCAGACATAACTGAGCGACTGAACTGAACTGAACTGAATTATATTTAAAATTTTCAGCTAGAAATCCCAGTGTCAGGATTTTGTTTTTATAGATAAATCCACAAACTGTATCAAAATATATGGTCAAGGATGTCATATTTGCAAATAACAGCAACAACAAAACACCAAGTACAAAATCTATTTTGTCTACAGGAGATTAATGCGCTTGGGAATACTTACCAAAATGGAAAACAAAAATGACTGCTAGTAGTTAAAGCTCTTCAAAGTGCATAGTCAAATGTAAAATTCAAGGTGCAAAATGTGGTGTATTATATGATCTCCTTTCTGTATGAAATAGCAACAGAAAGAATATATGTGAAGACACACCTCAATTTTCTTTTGCCTTCTTTTTGAAAAAACTGGAAGAACTCAGAAAAAAATTAAAAGTTTAATGATAACTGCCTTTGGAAGGTGGAATGAGAGAAAATAGGGGAGGAAATTTTTACATTTTAAACCTGTAACTTTCCATACTGCTTAGTTATCTTTGTATGTCTATAGTTTTTACTGTTGTTTCTAATTGCTTTTAATACCACTAGTGTTATGTGTAAAGTGAGATTAGAGGCTAATCTAATCTTTTCCTTTCTGGACTATTATGTGCTTTTTTAAAGAGAATCATAAGTCATAGGTACATGTTTTAACAAAGAAAATTGGAAATCTGGCTGCTTAGGGCCTTATACATGGCTATGAGTGTGGGGACTTTGCAGGAGAGGAAGATGTGTGCAATGTTTCAAAATTATTTAACTGCATAACTTTTTTAAAAAAGAATATCCTCAGAGACCAATATTTCCCACAAGAAATGTTAGAAAATTTTGACTTCACCTATCAATAAAATATGCATTGAGTGTGTTCCTTCTTTTTGTTGTTAATTATAGAGATGATAAAATATAGTTGACTTAAGTCCTATAAGTCCTTTTACCTTGATTCATATTTTATAAAGCAACTAAATTTATAATATCATAGTTTAGACCAGAAGTCAGCTTTTTTGGAAAAAAACAGATAGCAAATATTTCAGACTTTGTGAGCCATATGTCTCTGTTGCAGCTTCTCAGCTCTGAAGATACAGAAGGAAGCAACCATGGACAATGCATAAACAACTGGACACGGCTGTAGCTCAGCAACATTTTAACTATAAGACATATAGTAGTCTGGACTTGGCCCATGGGTCGTAGATTGCCAATCCCTGATTAACATTATTTTTCATGCACATTATTTAAAATAAGAATCAAAGAATTCTGTGAGTAGTAAGTTGTATTTTTGGATCCAACACTCTATAATTGGCTAGGCAGTTCTATTTAGCCAAGGGTAATTCTCCTGGATGGCTGACAGCTGAGAGCTGCCTGCCTGCAGCATTCCCAGCAAGTTTTGAGAAAAATTCCCTTAGTCCATAAAGGGGATTTGGGGACACACAGTTTTCACTATGATCCTCGTTTTAACATATCCAAATCTGATTGCTACCAATATATATCTACTTATTTGTTCAATGCTAGAATATAGCAAAAGTATTTTCAAAACTGCCAACCTATCTCACTGAGGGTTTGAAGGAGGAAAACTAGTAACTAGTGTTCAACACTGGTGTAGCTGTTTTTTCATATTAAGGTCTGTAATTCAGTCACTGTGCTCAGAGGTTACTCGTGTTCTTTTTTCCTTCCCTTCAGTGTGCTCTTGGTATTTATTTGAATTATACTTAGATTGGATTGTTTCTGTTTGTATTTCATTTTAGGATTTTTTCTTCAGTCTCTGTTAGTTTTATTCATTTGTTCACTCCTTCACTCTGGTTTGGGAAACATAACATGGTTCCATAAGTCAAACCTATACAAAATATACACTCAGAGAACTATCAATGCTCTCCACATCCCTTCCCCCCATTCATAACCCTTATTTCCCCCACTGTGATCTCACCCTTTCACTGTGAGTAACCACTCTCACTCTAACAAATAATGTTGCAATTCAATTTAAGCAAACAAGTTTTTCTCTTTTTGGACCTGTATCTTCAGACTTAATTCATAAAAGTAGGATTGCTAGGTGTTTTATATTATTACATTTTAAAATATTAAACCCTTGAAATCCTGAAGTAAATTCCATTTATGTATAATGAATTATTTCATTACTGTGGTAATAGACTCTGTTCACCAATATTTTATTTCATATTGTTGCAATAACATTTATAAGTGTCATTAGACAGTAATTTTATATTGTTGTACCGACCTCATCAGGTTTGGGCATCATTGTTACACTTTCATCTAAAAAAGAATTAAGAAATTTCACATAGCATTGGGAAAATTTTATTTTTAAAGGTTTTGTAGAATTTTTTTATAAAAATATCTGAGATTGGTGTTTTTATGTAGAGTATTTCTTAGAAAATGTTCTCTATTTCTTCTATAGAACTTGTTATGTCTTCTAGAAACACTATCTTTTTAATCTAGGCTTTTATATTATTTATAGGAAATGTCAGCAGTTTCATATGCTTAAAATTTATTCTCAATATCTTATTTTACTCATTGTCATATATTACATTTTCTGTTTTGTTCCATTTTTCTTCCATTTTTTGGTGTTTCTTTCCACTTTTCTAATTAAACCTGTTAGTGGTTTATTCTTTTCAAAAAAATAAAAATTTTAGTTATAAATTAGATACAATGTCTTTATGTTTCTACCTCATTTATATTTATTAGTTCCTTGTGTGTGTTTGATATGTATGTGTTGCTTTATTTGGTGTTCTTTTATTAGATTTTTGAGTTGGGGATTGTATTAATTTTCATTTTTTCATTTTTATTAATAAAATGTTTAAGGTTATATATACATTTTTCATTGATTCTTCAAAAATTCTGAGATGTAGTAATTATTTAACATTTTACTTTAAGATAATTGTAGGTTTACATGCACTTTAAAAATGTGATACAGAGATCCGGTGTATCCTTCATTGAGCTTTCCCCAGTGATAACAATTTGCATATCTATGAACCTTATTCACATTTCACCAGTTTTTCATGTGTTTGTGTGTATTTAATTCTATGCAATTTTATCACTTGTATAGGTTTGTATAACTACCCATCACAATATACTGAGCAGTTTTATTACAAAGACCCCTTGTGTTGGCAGTCTGATCCCTAGCAACAAATAAATCTGGGCCTCATTTCTATAGTTTTGTAATTTCAAGAATCCTGTATAAATGGAAGGAAACATATATAGTCTTTTGAGATTGGCTTTTTTCACTTAGCCTTATACTTTAAGATCCATCCAAGTGGTGTACA